CTTGCATAACCGCGGTTAACCGATTTTTATAAAAATGAACCGCGGTTAACCGATGGTTTTCGATCGGTTTGAGCGACATGGGTTTAATTTGAGGATCAACGTACATTAGTTGTAAACTCGGACAAGTTCAATACAGAATACTGCTAAAAACCAGATAAACCGTAAAACCTGAATAAACTCAATAGAACTCAAATGATGTGCATCTTCTTCGCTAAGCAAAATTTACCCTCAGATATAAAGAAAAAAGCAAATAGTTCTTTATTCTAGAATATGCATAAAAAATCCATCTATCAAGAGTCGAGTTTAAAGTTGCTCTATCTTTTCTACCACTAAATGAATCATCTTTTCAAAATAGTTGCAGACCTTTTAAAATATATGGTCACTATAAGAACACATTTTGAAAAATAATCTATTTTCGATGGCCATGCATCTTAATTTTTTTAACTTGTGTCTACAGGGGCAAATGAAGTCAACTGAAATAAAAGCGTTTCTATTTTCCGATTTCTATAAAGCGAATTTTTGTTAAAGTGTCTTCCATTAACTTTTTAGAAGATACTTTAGTATGATACAAACGATTTGACACTCCATTAAATTTTGCTTTCAGTAGATTAGAATTACTACGCATGAAACTATTCATTTCAAATAAGCAATAAAAATCTGATGAAAATTAAAGTCTATCAGTAGTCTAACATTTAGGATGTTTTACTAAACGATACATTTGTCATATTGATCGACTTCTCAACGCAAGGTTAATCAGGTTTGTTATCGGATGCGCTCGACACGCCATAAGCAAACCGATGCGCATGACTACTATATCGTGTTTTTAGATCTTGCAAAACTGCGCCATTTAATTAAACATGATCTATTTTGACATTCAATTAACAAAAAGAAAGAATGATGTAGGGCAATTCAAAATGAAATTTATTGAACTGAAAACTTTACAAACTTCTGCGACGATACACATTATCATTATTAAAGAAAGACATATTTTTCTACAAACGTAATTAGTAGGGATGCACCGATCCCTACACTATGCTGTTAAAAATGGCATTCTTTTGTCATAAAGACTTGCGCTATATACGAATTTTTTACATTCGTTTTGACCAGTTTTTCATGTTCTATCTGAATCAGCCGTCAAAATCCATCCACTTTAAAATGAACCTTTCGGATTCGGCGTGGAATCGGTCAAAAAGTAAAAATTTCAAGATTTGTTTTTAAAAGAGCGTTCAAAACTGAGCGGAAATATATGAAAAATCTATCAGAGTATGTCAAGTGTCGATGCTGAGCAAATATTTTTGCAATCAGAGAAAAACCAATTCCAGCCGATTCCTAGAATTTCTTAGAAACGTTTTAAATACTGAAAAAACTTGGAGTTATGAGATTCTGATAGATTTTTCATATATTTCTGCTCAGTTTTGAACGCTCTTTTCAAATCTATCACCAGGAATATTCTAATGCGAAAGATAAATCTGTAATTCAGTTGGAATCGGTCAAAATCGGTCGGAAAAATCTTTAAATTTTCACTTTTTGACCGATTTAACACGGAGTCCGAAAGGTTTATTTTACAGTGGATGGATTTTGACGACTGACTCATATAGAGCATGAAAAACTGGTCAAAACGAATGTTAAAAAATCGTATATTGCGCAAGTTTTTACGCCAAAAGAATGTCATTTTTAAAAGAATAGTGTAGGAATCGGTGCATCCCTAGTTTATATCATCGTTTATGCAGTTTACAAACGCTTTAAGGAATTGTTATACGTTGCACTCTAATAAACCCCTTAAATGGATCTTTGTAAGGGGTTATGAAAGTGAAGATCAAATGAATGATAGACCACATAGATACAGCTCAGAGTGTTTATGATAGGATACATCAAGTGTACTATTACTTTCATTAAGTGTCTCATATGATTGAAGATAATATTGAGTATATAACTGCCACAAAATACATGAGAATTTCAACAAAATGCACACTTTATTTAATTTTATTTCGAGTTTTCGGCAAGAACTCTCACCATCATCAGGAATGTTACAAAAAGAAAGAATAAGAAATTTTTTTTGTACAAGATATAAAGCCAGAGTAGATGAAAAAAAACCATACTTATGAAAAATGATGATTAATATATGTGGATGTATTTTTTGTACGTTTATTTGTTTGAGTGAAGGAGTATGATTTTTATTTTATCTAGAGGTTAAATATACATGTGATATTAAATTCATAAATATAAAAATAAATAGACTTCTATGATAATACATAATTATATACTAATTATACTTTTTTGTTATTTTTATGCAAAATTTTTTAATTTATGTTTAACTTCAATTAAAAACTTACCATAACTATAGTGTGCGAAAGACTCTTTTATGATTCTACGTTTTGCAATTTATTTCTGAAGATAAGATTTTTTTATTATCAAAATCAAAAGAGTGATTCTCTTCGAATACATGTTGTGCTGTATTCGAGTTTTCTTTTCCTTTTCTTATAGCTTCTTTATGTTCTTTTATTCCTGTGGTCAGATTTCTATTAGTTTCTCAGATGTATGTGTAATTACAGTTTTTACATGGTATTCGATAAACTAATTTTTTAAGTTTATTTTCTTCGTCTACGCTTTTTTTGCATAGATAAGAATGTATTTATGCGCGTATTACTGTTTTGTAATTTTATATTGATTTCTAGATGAGGTAGAAATCTTTTACATAGTTTATGCATATGCAATTATATTGGGTTCATGTCCACAGTATGAAAATGTGAAAAATATTTTCTTTTGTGGAAGTCACATATATTTCCAAAGAAAATGGTGAGTGTAAATTTATAAGCGAGATTTTTGCGGCGGGGGGGGGGGGGGGGGGGGGGGGGGGGGGGGGGGGGGGGGGGGGGGGGGGGGGGGGGGGGGGGGGGGGGGGGGGGGGGGGGGGGGGGGNACGAAAAAAGCAATGTTTGCCCATTACAGACCATACTAACTAGCTTAGGGTACCATTACAGACCGTAGAAACCAGTCTCTGTCCTTGTTAAATATACGAGCTAACAATTAATACTCGATTACAGACATAAGTGCAAATAGGCAATGATCTAATTATAGGTTTTGGAAATCAGGGTAGATTTTTCAGATGAATTATTTTGAATTATTTTAGTAAGCCGAAGGGATATATGTGAGCTTCACATTTTAGCCCCAAAGGGGCTGCACTCACAAGCTTTTTTATTGATGTATTACTGTTATTATTATTATTTTTATGTTTATTAATGATTTTTGTCGTGATGATCTTTCCTTCTCTGATACCTCTACGCATAATATGTTTAGGATATCCGTTTTCACCTAGTGTAGGTGTGGGTGTGTTAAACACTCAATATTCGATAGATTCGAAGCATAACACGACTTTTCGATCTTGCTTAAGGATCTCATCAGCTATCTTAAGAATCCCATGGCTGCATTATTATATGAAACGTAAAATTTTATATAAAAAACAAAATAGAATCATTAAATAACTCCTAGAATTCTAATCAATAATAAAGATTATTTCAGTATAAGGAGTTCTCTTTCGATTACAGTCAAAAAGAAATACATTATTATCGACTTCGAAAGAATATATTATTATGGTGTATGCTAGATTCAGAGCACCACACGACGCTTCGTCCTTTCTTAAGGGACTCATCAGGCATGTTTACAATCTATTATTACATAGAAAATTCAAAACTCCAAAGAGGGGTCCACAAGAAATTAAAGTTATCCTGGTCTAACTTTTCTTTATAAATATACAGTCCCTTTAATCCCTTTAATCCATCGAATCCTACAATTTGTTCATTTTTATGAACAAATTCATTTTCCATATGTAATATTTATGCTGTATGTTCAAATATTTGCTAGTAAAATTTGAAGATTGGTATTGACTATGACAAAGGCGAATAAAATATTATAACTTTTAGCGTTGTTCTCGCGTATTCAAATGGATTTTTTTCTCGTTTAAAATGCTCATTAATAGAGCATTCCGTTTCGAAGGAGTTTCTAAAGTGAACTGTTTGCAAAATATACTGTTGACCATTACATTCATCAAACTAAGGCGAACCGCACTGTAAAAAAATTCGTAGAATAATAAACCCAAAAAGGGTTGATGAAAGTGCAACGTATAATAAACCCTTTTTACCGTATTTAAAACTATCCTAAAACCTTTCATAAACCCTTTTTTCCGTATATGAAATTGCCATAAACCATTTTTTCCCTATGTGAAATTGCCATAAACCCTTTAATAAACCCTTTTAAATACGTTTTCAAGTGAGAGAAACATCTAAAGGTTATTTTTAAAAAAGTATTTTAAATGTTACACAATCATTATTTTGCTATTANGGTCGGAAAAATCTTTAAATTTTCACTTTTTGACCGATTTAACACGGAGTCCGAAAGGTTTATTTTACAGTGGATGGTTTTTGACGGCTGATTCAGGTAGAGCATGAAAAACTGGTCAAAACGAATGTTAAAAAATCGTATATCGCGCAAATCTTTATGGGAAAAAATGCCATTTTTAAAAGCATAGTGTAGGAATCGGTGCATCCCTATTAGAAACCCTCTGATAAACCCTTCCTTTTGGATTTTTTAATTTGCAAAACCCTATTCTCAAGGTTTTTTAGAGGATTTTTGACATGGTATAGGACGTCTAGAATAAACTCTCCCAAAGGTTTGTGATAAGTTGCACTTTCATGAGTCTTTTTTTTCGTTGTTTATTCTATTCTACGCTTTTTTTTACAGTGATGAATGGAATTAGCCCCATTCGAAACGATCGTCGTATGTAGCTTGGAATTCACTTAAATATGCACACCCACACCCACACCCAACTTATTTGTGATTTTCGAATCATCTGAATAGTTGCAAAAGATGAAAATATCGGATGAGACCGTTAAGCATGGTCGAAACTCGTCGTAGTATGCTATAAAACACACCAACACCTCGATAAACATTCTTAAATCAAAGACAGTTCTATGGTTGCAAAAGCATGTGTTTTATTTTCATGATTAATCCAATTCACGCCTGAAAACATTCACAACGGCAAGCATAAACATGATACTTGGAGTAAATGAAAATGATACGAAAATTGCTGATGATGGTGATGATAGCGATGGTAAACCATAGTAATGTTGAGCAAATCCAGTATCGGAAAATATACGTAAAGCTGCTTGAGTCGTATTTCTTGCATTACAGCGTGGTTCAATGCATTCAACATAAACGTATGCAATTTTTCGTTCATCATCTAATGTCGTTTGCTCATATAATTGAGCACCAACTATATTTATGCCATTCTTGCATGAACGAATAGTACTTGTACCATTAGTGTCGAGTGGACAACTTTGGCATGCATCAATAGTTACTTTTTCATCATCATCTTCATAACATTTGATTTTATCTGAAGTACTATTATTGATCGAAAATAAATCACGCATTCGTGACACGGCAATAGATGCCACTTTAGGTATAAACTGCATCTATGTAATAATCTTTTGAGTATTTTTGAAAATATCACAATCAGGACAGGCATGAAACACATGTACTGACAAAATACCAGTCCATAAGTTTACTTCTGTGTCAACAAATGATGAACGCCGTTGCCCGGCACCATATGCGAAATAGAATATTCTAATATGATCATCTTGTATAGAAGAGAATGTAACACTAACAGAACATTCGAAACTCGCATTACTTAATGCTGTACAATTAGTCGGTGGTTGTAAAGTACTATTAAATGGAACGGCTTGATCACATGAAGAATAACATAATTGCACACTGTTGACAAAGAGTATTAGCAAGACAATTTTCAACTGAATAAGAAACATTTCAGTGCGATAAAGACTGTTAAATTTGGAATGTATTTCATATCTTTTATACTACGAAAAACTTTTTCTGTTGAAATCTATGATAAATGACTCGATATGCATCGTTATATATGAGATCACAAAAAGCATCTTAACAATAATCGGATAGCTAACCTGAATACTTTCAGTGAAGAATTATATATTTGATCGGCATCATTATATGTTATTGAACGCTACTACGTAGTTATATGCTAATCAAATGTAACAAAATTGTTCTTCAATTGGACGTACCCGAAATGTTTTTTAAGCTAACAAAATTTTTGAAAACAAAATTGCCACCACTGAAGAAAAAACCATTGTAGGCATTACTACAATTCTCATCAGTTCACATATCGATTTCTCGCATATCCATGTGAAATATGAATAAATTTGATTTGAATATTACAATAGGTAATGCATGCATCATAATTATTTTATATGCTAATCAAGTAATTGAAAACCAACGTTAACAAGGTTTCTTCAATCATATATGTATTGCATGAGAAACATGTATGTAGCCATTCGTCTAAACTTCTCATACAAGACAGTAGATTTTATTTTCGCTCGATTTGTTTTATTGCGCAAAAGCAATAAGATTATGGTGCATATACAAAAAGATATGTTTCAATCTATCCGAGTGGTTCGTATTTCACGAAGAGCATTATTTGACGAACAATACAAGGTATTTTTAGTGTAAATCATATTATTAAACTACTAATTTTAATTATTTCTCAATGAACTAATTAAAAAATGAATTTTTTTCTTCTTAGGTAGAATCTCAGTTTCGAAAGCAAAAACATAATATTTATCATTTCTCTTCTGAAGTAACTCTATTTGAATGCCTAAGATATATTACGGATGGTCGATCTTCGTCTATAACGGCATCAAATATAAGACGAGACCAATTACCACTCAGAGGTTTAAATCAGTGAGTATTGAACATGGAATAAATCTATACCTGCTAACGAGAGTCCACAGCATGAACCTTTATAGTACATGGAATTCTACGTTTTAGGATACTGAAGGAAGATAGTGTGTGCACTGGAACAAAGACTTGTCAATGGTCGTGTATCTACCTTGTCATCATTATTACATTTATCTTGGCAGTAATGATTCTTGTCATATATGGAATTGTTACTATATCCACAAAGCATATAATATCTACAAGTACTGGTATGAATATAGGAGACTCTTATTAGTAAACTAGATCATATTGAGTGTGAGCATTTTGCCTTGCCCAGAGTAATCAGTGTAGAACCATAGAGAATATTCGAAGGTTGAATATGAATAAGACCATCTTAAATATGCGTGCATCTTACGCTGCGTATTATGCAAAAATAAGATGAAATGAAATTTTCCAATAAACAGGTTCTCATAACAGCTTTGATAGTATTGAACCTTCATTTTTTTCGATGTAATATATAAACAATGAGTATGCTAGAATATACAACGACTGTCACAACAATTACGGCTACGACCATAGCCACTGCAACAACAACTAGTACCACCACCACCACCACCACTACAACCACGACAATCACAGGTAAGTGTGTTTTGCCATTGCAAATTGTACTGCATTTACAAAGTGAAAGAAATATAATAAATGACTAAATTCTTCATTCTTGTCCCTGCATTGTTGAATCACAAACATTGCTTCATAGCCTAGCTCCCACAGCTTTGAAAAGAGAGAAACAAAATATGATGATCCATTTTATATGTGAAGAATGGAAAAACAAAATAAGTTAAACTAAAAAGGAGTCGTCTTCTCTGTCTCAAGATCAAAAAGAGATTCGATGCGTTATTCGGCGTTCCAGGAAACTAATTTTCCCAGAAGCACATGGGTCCAACATCTTCAAAGGTCATAATGGCCATTCTGGGCATTCTTTTCGTACCCTCAGCGCAATTCCACTCGAGAAACTATCCACCACCTGCAGCCTTCCTCGCACCCGCAATCTCGCCCTCACGAGGAACCAATATACCCATCTGGTCATTATGGCCATTAGGGACGTCTTTGACTTTTAGGGAAACTGTGTATATTTTCCGGAGAAGCAGCCTGTTTCCTAGAAAATGAACTTGATTTCCTGGAAAGCTATATAACACATCATATGCAAATGGCGTGGGTTTTTATCATGGGGAAATGAGCTGATTTCAAAAGCTGAAATCAGCTTGAAATCATTCGAAATTGTTTGAAATCATTTGAAATCGTCTGAAATCACTTGGAATCACTGCTGTTTTACACGCATGAATTTCTCTGCATTTTAGACATTCATAAAAACTAAAACAAGAATATGACTTCTAGCACGATTCCCGCGTTGATTTAATCGAGAATGGAACAGTCGTTTAGTGATAAGCTCTGAGACTTAAATTACTCTTAATTGCATGTGTTTATGAAGGTCATTATAATTTTATAACTTTCTTTTTTCTCTTCCTTTTTTTTTAATGTTTTTTATTATTAATTATTTTCTGATTTTTAATAATTAATTATTTATATTTTTAAGACGTTTCGGAGATATCTTTCTCTTTCTTCAGTTTTATTTTATTTGGTTTTATGTTTGTTTTTACTATTTACAATACGTATCTGACTATTATTTTTCTTTTTCTTTTCTTTTTCTTTAATAGTGGAACGGAACGTCAAAACATACAAGCTTTATCGGCCAGTATTACCGTCTTGTCATTCCGTTCCACTATTAAAGAAAAATAATAGTCAGATACGTATTTTAAATAGTAAAAACAAACATAACACCAAATAAAATAAAACTGAAGAAGGATATCTCCGAAACGTCTTAAAAATATAAATAATTAATTATTAAAAAATCAGAAAATAATTAATAATAAAAAACATTAAAACAAAAGGAAGAGAAAAAAAATTATAAAATTAAATTACTCTTGAACACATGGCAGTCGTCCTGTGTTACCATTCTCTTAGAATAACCTATGAAACAGTTGGTATAAAGCGTTCTACATACACATAGGCAAGTGGAAATAGTACAGCTTTTAGTTGAGAAATCTTAAAAGTTTTCCCAAATCTTATAAGGGATACTAAAGTCTCTTGTTTCTCTGATCTCTAACTGGCAAGTTCTTTACTTCTCCCATTCGTTATGGCTTCTGTCACAGAGAATCAGTTATTATCCATTCGCTGCAAATTACCAGAATCATTGTAAATATTTCAAAAGTAAGGGAATCATGGACAATCATTATAAATCGGTGGTAATCTGTAAGAATCTTGACAATTTTAGGCAGATAAAAGAATCATCAAGCATGAAAAGAAATATGGATTTTATTTTCCAACTATACAAAGAAGATGTTTTATCATGAACAGTAATTTTTAATGATTTCAAACGATTTCTGACACAGCCCACTAGGTTTTCGCTACTTTGATCAATTATTTGAACGCTCTTGCCATTACAATGATTTTTCTATGATTTCAAGCATATAAATTATCTTGTTTTCTATGGGTTGTAAGTGTAATAAGTAAGACTTGACACCCTTTGGCCAAAATTTAATTTAGACATATCTAAAACATCGAGATGTGCTCTTTGAACGCACGCGTCCTCTTGCATTTTTACCTCACTAAAGCATGGAAATCGTTATTAGCAATTCCTATTCTTGTATTCCTAAAAGGATCTAATCTTTTTACTAATCAACTTTCTTTGCATCTTTTATTTTTACTGCTCAGATCAAATATGTGAGATAGGCCGCGCTCGGCTGTAGTGAACTTTAAGTGAGTTCCGAAAATAATACTCTTGAGTGAGCTGTAAAAAAAATGCTTTCCATCAGTTTTCTTCTTCAGCGATGTATAAAAATGCAGTTACTTGTCTCTAACAAGATTCTCCTCTCGACTTCTGGACTTCAGCCAAATTAACAAGATACACTTCATGCCCCCATGAACATTGCCGGATTAAAGAACCAGTATCCAGTCATATGACACTTACTTACAGGATCCTCATTCAGTAAGGAATTCCAAGGGCGAGAAACCAGACGGCAAGATCTTACAAGAATCGTACGTTTGATCATATCTGATCTGATAAGATCAGACGAAAAATCGTACACTAAATCGTATCAGAAGATTCTTGAAAGGTTCCGTTACCTATAGAAATATCACTGTGATATTTTAATTAAATTAATCTCTCCTTAAAATATCACGGCAAATTTGTATTGTAAACAAATTGCATGTGCGATCTTTCAAGAAAATATACTATGATCTGTTGCAAGATTTCAGCGACGACGATTTTTTGTCTGATGCGTATAAGATTTCGTTCGGCTCGTAAGATCTGACGTCCGGATTACAAGATCTTACGTCAGATTTTTCCACCTGGGAGGATGCAACATCGGAGTGTACAGTTTACGCTCACGCTCATGAGCCTGAGCGGCATATTCCTAATTATTATTGCTTTTATTGTTTATTACCAGTAATAAAGTAACAAAAATTTGAAACTAATAAAGGCATCAGCTGAGAAGTAATAACGAGGAATAATTATTAGCGTAATAAATACCGACCTATAGGTGGTACTTAGAATTTTTAGTACCTATCCAGGAGTATCTCTAATAACTACTTGCGACCTATCGGGAGATCGTACTTAGAGGTATAACCTAAGACTTTGAAGGAACTACTAAGGGTTAGTCCTGTACTATTAGGGACCTACCCAGGATGGTGATTAAAACTATGCGAGAACTTCCCAGAGCTGATCTGTGCAACATTTTAGGACACATGTAGTGTCATACCTTGTAATCTTCTGCGCCTGTGTGAAAGGAGGCTCTTGTAACTTATTCGGTCGTAACTAGGCATGAACTGAGATCGAGACCAAGCCGCAACTCGCAATCTCAATCTCGGTTTCAGTCAGTATCGGCTTTTAGGGCCTATACGCGTTGACCTCGATACCAATTAATTTTAATCTCCCTTTTGACTATATTCAATCACAACAGTAATTTCAGTCTTGGTCTCGGAAATTTGGTGTCGAGCTCAAAGAGACTATATGACAGGA